TCTGTTGGTCTTCCTTGGTCTCTTGTGTTCTGGGGGCCTCTGGATGTCTGGAGTTTTGATCTCCTCCATACCTGCTTCATGCCCTGGAGGACGGGGCTGATCTTATGTGCTGCACAATAATGTTTAATATTTAGTATTTACTGTCATATTGTGATGTTGTTTATTCTATTGCTCTTGTTTTCTTCTGCTTGTTTTCTTTTTTCTTTCTCAACGGGTGATCCAGGTGATCGATAGATGCATTTTTTTTTTGTCTGCTTATTTAGTTGGTTTTTGGTTTTTTTGCCCTTTATCCTTGTCCCTCTTCTCCGCTGTTTTTCCTCCCTCTTCCTTTCTCCCTTTTCTTTTCCTCATTCAAGTCTGTCCCGTATACCTAGCAAGTGAAAAAAATATATATATAAAATAAACAATAAAAGGTGAATCAAATAGACCATTACGGCAAGGCTGGGATGGTCAATTTGATAAAGTAAATCGGTTGGGCATCTTTCTTCTCCTTTAGACAAAAAAGAGCCAAACGGGACAGAAAAAAAAGGAGTTTGTCTGCATTTGATGACACATATCAGTGTGAACTGTGTGTGTCAGTGACATGTGTGTGTTCTGATGTTAATGATGAAATGATGTTGGGGTTGCGCTGCGTAGACTTTGAATCAGTGAAAAGTTGTTTGCTGACCTCTTCTTCTCGTGTCTGCTGTCTCTGATCTCTCTCTATTTGATCTCCTCTGATCTCTTCAGACTCTGTGAGGCTGCTGAATGGGACCAGTCTGTGTTCAGGCAGACTGGAGGTCAACTACAACCAGTCTAACCAGTCCAAGCAGAGCTGGACCTCCGTGTGTGAAGATCATTTTGACCAGCAGGATGCAGAGGTGGTCTGTAGGGAGCTTGGCTGCGGGCCTCCCTCAGCCCTCCAGGGGGCACTCCATGGAGACATGGGGGCTCCAGTGTGGAGCAAAGAGTTCCAGTGTGAAGGCCACGAGTCTACTCTCCTGGACTGTAGGAGCTCAAACTCTACTAGAAGCAGCTGCTCACCAGGCAAAGCTGTTGGACTCACCTGCTCAGGTAGAAGAGCAGCTGCAGCTTCGATTTGCTTCAAACTCACTTCATTTTTTACTGATGACTCTCTGCTTTCTGTTCAGAGCCTATCAGGTTAGTGGGAGGAGCCAGTCGCTGTGCAGGTACACTGGAAATTAAACTGGGAGAGTGGAGACCAGTGGATGGAGATAATTGGGCCCTGAGGGAAGCAGCAGTTGCCTGTAAACAGCTGGACTGTGGCTCCGCTCTTGCTATAGAACACAGGAAGTCCTCAGACAGACCTGTGTGGAGGATACAACATGACTTTGTTAAGAGTAGATTTTCTCTGAGGGAGTTTGTAATACCAGTAAACTCTTCCTCCACTGTGGATCTGACATGCTCAGGTAACCACATCACTTCATCATTTGTTACATAAGGAGGTAGAGTAGACAGTGTGTTTTTCATCATGCTAACTTAAGATAGTTAACTTTTTATTGTCATTGCACAGTTTTACCTACTACAATAGTACAGTGAAAACGGGTGCCATGTTGGCACTACACAGAGCACAACAGGACAACAACACACTATCTTAATGTAATAATTAAAGAGACATTAGATTAAGTGCATGATAAATAGAATTAGTATATTTTGGGGGGGAGGGGGGGTCCAATGACTTTTGACCCTCTGAAGTGCTTTTTTTTGTGCCATGGTGCTGCTGGAGAACCACACACAGATGCAGTTGTCAGCACACTTTCAATGGAGTAGCTGTAGAAGACGATCAGCAGGTCCATTTTTTTGAGGATTCTCAGGAAGTGGAGACACTGTTAGGCCTTCCTCATGTCCTCTTTTGTTCTTTGACATGGAAATTGTTTCCTTTCAACAATCACAAAGGATCTTCCATTTCCATAAATGTGCCTGGAGCAGATAGTAGTATTTATTTATTGTCATTGTCAAGAACAATGAAATTGCGTTTGGGGCTTCCATACAACCCAAAAAAAGAAGAAAATAATAAATACCCCTTAAAACCCAAGTGTACATATTTAACCCAGTGTGACTCCAATGCAATAGACAATCCTTAGCAATAACATGTGAACATGACAAGTA